GGGACCCGTCGACCCCCACCACGGGGCGCAGAGGGGCGGAGAAGGCACGGAGCACCGTCCGACAGCCGAACAGGCAGGACGCCGCGACAGCGCGACCGACGACAACCGTGCGACGACCGACGGTCCAAAACCACAACGAATTGCGACAGGAGGGGAGGGTTTCTCCCATGACGAGAGTAAACCGTAAAAAAACCCGTAAAACCCGTAAAACAAACGCTAAAAAAGAATAATAGCGGGTGAGCAGCGGCAGCCAGACGCGCCAGCGTTCACTCAACCCGGAAGTGAATGTGCGTGGCCAGAAGGTCACGTGACTTACGCTGAGTGATGAAGGCTAGCTAGTTCTTTTTTGACATAATTAAATGGTTTTCAGACTTTTTACCAGTCCAAAAAATAAATAAATAAACTACATGACTTGTGATTGGACGGTCGAGGGCGCGGTGGCGAAATTTCCGCCTTCCAACGCAAAGACTTTCCGCTCACAATGGCACGAGATAGGGCTAAAAATAGATTCGCTTTCAGGCTCACATATACACGATGGCGCTGCCGAATGACCCCTGAGTGAACGAGGTTGTCTGATTTCGCAGATCCCATCAACGATGTCATTGACTGATTGGGAAAATGATGACATTAAAGTCAATCAACGTTTGGAAAAACGAGAGGGGGGGGGGGGAAGCAAGCTATATGGCTCAGCAGAAATGACATCATCAAGCGAGGTGCTGTTATGATGGGTAGGCGGAAGGAAAAGTCCTTTCTTCTATTTTCCAATGTTTTATAGATCAAAAAATTAAAATAAATGCTCTGTTGCTCAGAAATGTTGGTGTCTACAATGTCCTCCAATTCAGTACGGTAATGAAAAAAAAAAAAGACCATTGAATTTTCCTCATGGAAATTCATGAGGCTCCACGTTGTACCTGGGCGCTGATGAGATCCAGACTTTGAACCAGTCGATCCCAACGTTGAGTCAAAGTATCCAGCCTGGCCTCCAGTTTGCTGGCCACCTCCTTGTTCTTGACACTGCAGAGCAGGTCCTGACTCATGGCGCACAGCTTGTCCATGGTGGGGCGCTTCACATCCAGCTCTGCCTTGACAATCTGGTGGAGCACAAACAAAATAAATGAATACACACGCTGACTGCGATGCATCAGTAAGGTCGATCATTAATCAGAGCTTTTCCATTCTTGTCCACAAATCGTCGAGATGCCTCACACACTCGTTCAATTCATGGCAGTGGTGCTCAACAACTTTTTAAACCAAGTACAACCGAAAAAAAATTTGTTAGCTTTCCGAGTAAAACCATAATGACAAACTTCTGTAATATTATCGTAAGCCACCGTAACATTAAGCAGAGTTTGAACATAAACGTTCAAATGGACGAAAATATCCAATGCATTTTAAAAAATGATTCAGAGTAAAAGTTGACGACAGAAAATACTGACATCAAAATAAAAATGTGTCATACTGAAAAGTTAAATACAACTGAACTGTCCTGAAATGGACTGTACTGGATTTTAAAAACATTATGCACAGGTTCAACACACACACACACACACACACACACACACACACACACACACACACACACACACACACACATACCACTAGGGGGAGCATGTACACACTTTGGGAATCACTGGCCTATGCTGACAGAGAGAGACACTATTCTTCTCTTTCTAAGTCACTTTGGCTGATGAAGAATGTTGAAGGTTGTCTTTTTGATAGAACACAATTAATAAGGTTAAACTCAAGGTTTAGGATTCTGCTTGACTCACGGCAAGATGGCGCAGGCAAGCCATTGTGGCGGAGTGGTCCTTTTCATTGGGGGTCTTGATCGAACGAACCAATTCCTCCTTCTGAGTCAGCCACGAGTCAACTAAAGACTAACGGAAAGAAAAAATAAAATAAACAAGGGAAACAAAAGAAGGCAGCAGTTTTATTCTCACTGTAATATTAGGCGAGAAAGAAATACGATATCCTGGGGACAATATTACACACGGACGAGGACCCCGTTCACGAACGGGTGACACGCAATTGAAGAAAACCGAGCGACGTGCACGCAGGACGTACTTGCTCATTTGTGAAGTGTTGCCATTTCAAAAGAATCTCTTGTAGCAGAATCCAGCGTTCTTCTGTCCATCTACAGATGGCTGCCCAGCGGTCACCGAGCACCTAAATGCACGCACGCACGCGCACACACACACGCACGCACGCACGCACGCACGCACGCACGCACGCACGCACGCACACACACACACACACACACACACACACACACACACACACACATTTCCTCTTAAAAAGGTCATCGGAGAGGCTAAAACATTCTACTTTGCCATCAGGGTGCCCCAAAAGGCTCATCATGTAGTTTCACTTTGTCACGTGCCAATTAAATTCTTCCAGCTGCCTAATGTGGAGGGTGAACACTTTCCTGAAGGGACAAAAAGGAGCATGATTTTGTGCTGGGTACCAGCTTAAAACAGTTTTTGTTTTTTTTGTTTTTTCTGAGGGCTGCATACAGAAAAATGAAAAGATGCAGGAACCACTTGAACGATCTTTACCTTGAATTTATTTAACACGCTAAAACCAATCCATTGGCGTAACAAAGATATGGAATGAAAAAAAAAAAAAAATATATATATATATATATATGTGTACACACACACAAACAGACACACACCGGTACATAAAATTATTCATTAAAACTTTTTTTGGGGGGCTAGGGGATATCCTTCTAGATTCACGCCTGTACTGAGCAGCGGCAGAATCACACCTCCACATTGTGAACCAAAACAAGGGCAATCGGGAATCAGATAACAGACACGGAGGATGAAATGGACCAAACAATTGCAATTCATGCTCGTTTCATCTGTAATGAGGGTTTGGGAATCAGAAACCCAGTAAGTTCTTGTCAATGGTTCTCATTAATTGTTTGTTTGCTTTGCGTAACAAGCGTCCACTTATAGATTCCTTCTTCTCGGCCGCGATTGCGCTCACGTCCTGGCAAGGACGAAAGAGCGGAGAGGAAACAAAATTCAAAGTGTTGAGAACGGTCGGTCACGCTCCCCTCGACTCGTTCGATTTTATGCATGAATTCGTTTTGGATCAAGCAGAATGCAACCGGAGCACTGTAAATATTCTCAAACGTGTCACACAAAAGGAAAGTTTTCCAGTGCAAAAATTCTCTACTTGCTTGAATAATGGAGAGCTGATATCCTGGCAGGAAGGATGAGCGGTAGAAGCTCTCCTTGGACCGTTCCCAGTGGCCATGTTTGCAGTTGTTTTATCGGTTGGGCTTAAAAACCTGATTCATGAATATTTCAACAAATATTTCAACCGATACCGTGAAGTGTGGAACTGGACAATTTGCTCAGGCGCGTTGATATTTTGTAAGGTATGTGGGAAAAAAAAAATTGCATTAAGCTTGCTGGTCTCTTGACATATTTTGAGAAATAAGGGTCCCTACTTTGCCTACTTTTTGTTTTCTAGGGATACGTTAGAGATTACGATTTGCTCGCTGATGATGTTGTCTCATCAATTCAAAGCGGAAGACAATAAACAGCAAAAAAAAAACCCCAAAACATTTGTGTTATTTCATTTCCCCATTCAATGGGAGTCACTCAGAAATTAGATCGATAAGCGCTATCAATAAATGGAAGCAGAATCGCTAAATTTGCAATTCCCCTGACTAGCTTTGACTGAATTATCCATATCCAGCAGAGCACTGGGAATAGAAATTTTGTTGCTATTCAAGTCATGTATGATTCGTGGAAGTTGAGAGGTGAGAGGACGCAGGTGTTCTTTGTGTTTGCCTTGTCTCCGAGTGTCGAAAGTAAGAAGTACACGTACAAGTCCGGGGAGGAGGGCCGCAAATGGCACCCGGACCGTAGTTTGGAGATCTCCACCCTGTAATATACACAACTAGTCTTTTTGCAACATGCTATGTAATATGCCGGGCCAGCACAAGTACCGAATGTGTTTTTATGTCGACAGTGTGTTACAAAAAGTAATGATTGGTTTCATGAGTGCTTGAACAGTTATCAGTAATCGTTTGTGACTTGTTGCTTTGGCATTTTGTTGAAGAGCAGCAATATATTCATCAAACAGAATGCTTCAGAACATCATGTTATATATTTTTCAAAGCGATACTGTCATTTATACGGTATTCTAAAATTCTCATGTCACAAACTCGGAAGACATTTTGGAAGCAACTTGACCAACACCGCCTTTGAATAGGTTTCAACATCGTGCAGTATGTGCATGTTGACAATGTTTAGCATCTGAACAATATGAGTAGTGCGACTCGTCTGGTCTGGACACTCCTTTTTCTAACTCGATTTTGGTTGAGATCCTCTCAAACGTGTCCTCTGTTAAATAATCGAGATTTCAGCCTCCGGCTGTATTCTCATGAATACATTTTTCAGTTGAAAAGCTGGATTGTGCAAATGGCCCCTAAATCAAGATGTTAAAAAAAAAAAAAAAAATCGCAAGGCCATAAATGAGACAACCGAGATTTAAGAGTCGAATCATCTTGGCCAAAAAATGCAGCAGGGGGGGAACCTGAAGAAGTCGACTTGTATTTGCATGTTTCCGTTCCTAGTCTCCTAATCTCTTGAGCTGGTTTATGCTCCATTCTGCAATAAACTGCTCTGCAGGCGGTAACGCAACAAAAGCTGCACTTGAAACAAAGAACCAGCACTTAATATATGCCGGTGTGATTATACGCAGCATCTCTGACACGTGCTCCGCTTCTCAATTGTTTTTTTTGTGAGTGAATTATGAACCACTCCGGCATCACTATTGTGTCAGGAAATCCAAATAGTTCCTAAATTAGGTTTGAGAATATTTTTTTCTTAATTTCTGGACAATTATTGAGTCAGTAGTGAAGACGTGCTGCTCCAACTTGCCTGAAGTTTGCTCTCCAAGGCAGCAGTGGCACTGTCCCCGCTGGTCTCGTCCACCACCACCACCATGTGGGTCAGCGAGTTGACCCGTACCTGCTCCTGCTCAAGGTCCTCCTGCAAAAGCTGCAGACAATATGCCAATTGATTGAGCTTTTTTTACAGGCACTTTCATGACAGTGTGAGGCCGAATTTCCCAAACTTTATTGAACCAAGGTACCACCAAGTCGTGGGACTATCCCGGCCCACCAACAGCCCAAATTCACGTATAACTGATGGCCAATGAAATGCATTGGGGAAAACTGATACCAATTCAAACGTAAAAATCCTCCCCAAAAAGCGAATAAACATTCAAATCACGGAAAATGTGGGGGTGAAACCCGACAACCTCCTCATTCTCCATAACCAACATTATTTCAAAATATTGAAAAAAAAAATTCGAAAACATTCTAAAATTCTCATGTCACAAACTCGGAAGACATTTTGGAAGCAACTTGACCAACACCGCCTTTGAATAGGTTTCAACATCGTGCAGTATGTGCATGTTGACAATGTTTAGCATCTGAACAATATGAGTAGTGCGACTCGTCTGGTCTGGACACTCCTTTTTCTAACTCGATTTTGGTTGAGATCCTCTCAAACGTGTCCTCTGTTAAATAATCGAGATTTCAGCCTCCGGCTGTATTCTCATGAATACATTTTTCAGTTGAAAAGCTGGATTGTGCAAACGATCGATCGGCTTTTACATAAAGTACAAAATATGCTGATCTCATCCAATTGATCAGATTTGTGTAAAGTCTACGCTTCAGCGTCCACGAAAAAAAAAAAAAAAATCGCAAGGCCATAAATGAGACAACCGAGATTTAAGAGTCGAATCATCTTGGCCAAAAAATGCAGCAGGGGGGGAACCTGAAGAAGTCGACTTGTATTTGCATGTTTCCGTTCCTAGTCTCCTAATCTCTTGAGCTGGTTTATGCTCCATTCTGCAATAAACTGCTCTGCAGGCGGTAACGCAACAAAAGCTGCACTTGAAACAAAGAACCAGCACTTAATATATGCCGGTGTGATTATACGCAGCATCTCTGACACGTGCTCCGCTTCTCAATTGTTTTTTTTGTGAGTGAATTATGAACCACTCCGGCATCACTATTGTGTCAGGAAATCCAAATAGTTCCTAAATTAGGTTTGAGAATATTTTTTTCTTAATTTCTGGACAATTATTGAGTCAGTAGTGAAGACGTGCTGCTCCAACTTGCCTGAAGTTTGCTCTCCAAGGCAGCAGTGGCACTGTCCCCGCTGGTCTCGTCCACCACCACCACCATGTGGGTCAGCGAGTTGACCCGTACCTGCTCCTGCTCAAGGTCCTCCTGCAAAAGCTGCAGACAATATGCCAATTGATTGAGCTTTTTTTACAGGCACTTTCATGACAGTGTGAGGCCGAATTTCCCAAACTTTATTGAACCAAGGTACCACCAAGTCGTGGGACTATCCCGGCCCACCAACAGCCCAAATTCACGTATAACTGATGGCCAATGAAATGCATTGGGGAAAACTGATACCAATTCAAACGTAAAAATCCTCCCCAAAAAGCGAATAAACATTCAAATCACGGAAAATGTGGGGGCGAAACCCGACAACCTCCTCATTCTCCATTATTTCAAACGATTGAAAAAAATTTTTTCGAAAAAACAAATTCCAACTGCATATGCTGAGAAACGTATTTGTTGGCGGCGTTTGCTGTTATGTTGCATTTTGCAGATCTGATCAATGACATCACCGATCGATCGGCTTTTACATAAAGTACAAAATATGCCGATCTCATCCAGTTGATCAGATTTGTGTAAAGTTTACGCTTCAGCGTCCACGGCGATAACTTTGCAAAATTCGACCAAACAAGTGCGGCAAGGCCGCAAACAAATATGTGCCTTAATCACTTCAACTTTTCATATTTCATGAGACATTGACACATAAGAACATGGATTGACTGCAGTTCGTAAAGAACTGAACTGATCTAGAGCAAAACAAAATCAACATGTATGAAGAAATCATGACTTAAGGTCGCCACCTTGTGCTCTTCCACTTGGCGCTTGACGTTCTCCAAGTCAGGACCAAGCGGCTGAGCCTCCATCTTGTTCACCCGCGCCTCCGTTGCGTCCAACCAGTCTGTGAGCTGCTGCAGCTGCTTGTGCTGTAGGTCCATGAGGACCTGGTGGAGTCTGGTGAGTGGGGCAATTTCATACCATTGATCAGAGGTGCCAAATGCACTCACCACATCTCAACTTACAACGTGAGCAGAAGTACAGATAATTGTGTAGGAAAAGACAACTCCGGTAAACCATAAGTTTCAGGTGCACGGTCCTGCTAGTTTCGCTTGAATTTTTTTGTAACTCAATCTTGTTCTGCCTCCTGTTTATTTTGGGATATAACTACAAAATTGGCCACGAGATGGTGGTTCGCTGTCATGTTAAACATGGCAAATTTGAAAAAAAAAGGGAAATCAGTCAGTAGGCCTATTTCAGGCTCAGCCGAGCTTTTGCTGAACTTGGATTGCATGTCAAATCCTGTTCAATCCTGCTTTTTACACCGACAGAATCCAACAACTGTCGGTTCGTTTTATAATGCACATATTTGGGAATGATTATTGCTGTATGTTGTGATTCGATATGTTTGATAGTTTGGGGGAGAAAAAATCGAAAAATGTGCTTTTATAATTTTAAAAGTGTATTTAAAGAATAAAAAATAGAGCCATAACGCTATGAGAAACATGCGTAGGGAGTATCTAAATAGAGGGACTTTTAATTGTATTTATATATTTGTACTTTCCTCTTATAACTTACAATGCAAAACAAAGAAATCCCACAGAAACTTCTTGAAAACAGCCCAGCTGATATCACATTTTACAAAAAAAATGAAGCCAATTTCAGCTTTTTAGGCTACGACAAACGAAACACCGGGCCACACCACCACTGGGTTACTGTTGTAGGTTTTCGGAAAATGTGGGTTTTGAGCATGTGAGCACCTGCTTTGCCTCTCCATGCTGGCCACCCGGAGGTGCTCCCATCGAGAGTTCAGCAGGGTCATCTGTTCCCTGACTTCGGTGTCCTCCTCCTCACTCAGGTTACCCTCAGCCAGTAAAGCTGCGCCGGCTCGGAGGACACGCCCCACGCTGCCCTGGTGCGCGGTGAGCTCCACCATGTAGCCCTGCGAGCAGGAGAGGCAAAAAAATAAATAAATAAAAATACACTTCACCATTGCGGAAAAGTTCCTCTCGTTACAGCTAATTAACTGATAGCGGCGCCCCGGCAACTCCACGCTAAATGACCTGACTCCATTTGTTTGAAGTGCCCTCATAATAGATGGAAGCGCCCCTGTCTCCTTTTCGAGCACTTGACTCGTACAGTACTGTATATGATCTTCAGCGAGCTGAACGGTCAGGGGGCGTTGAATCTGGAGAGCTCGATGTTTCAAAGTGTTGATGAACAAAAATGTATTTGAACAGCTAAACATTGCCCGTGCATGTCTGACAGCTGACAAGGGTTCGTGTCTGCTCAAGGACGGGAATCATATTTGCTAACTTTCATTCATTCATTCATTCATCGTCACGAGGGTCGCAGGGGGGTGCTGGAGCCTATGCCAGCCGTCTTCGGGCAGTAGGCGGGGGACACCCTGAACCGGTTGTCAACCAATCGCAGGGCACACAGAGACGAACAACCATCCACGCTCACACTCATACCTAAGGACAATTTGGAGTTTTTGGAACGCGGGAGGAAACCGGAGTACCCGCAGAAAACCCACGCACGAACTTGCCCGATTGAAATGAATGGAAATGTCATCCCAGCCGCCCAAAGCACCAACATTTTTTTTTTTTTTTAAATACCACTGTATAATAAAATCTAAAAACAAATATAATACAACACTATAAAAGAAAATACAGTGGCACCTTGACTTCCAAGTACGATTCTTTTTGGTTGTAACTTGAAACACGGGTCATGACAATCATCTTACCCAGTTGAAATGAATGGCAATGCCATGAGTCAGTTTCATAAAAAATTTACCCAAAATGTTCTGTTTTTAATAACCACAAAAATATCACGTCTCAAACTTGTGGCCCGGGGCCATTTGCGGTCTGCAGGATGATATTTACTTGACTTTAAAGTTTAATACAGTATTTGTGCAGCCCCCGCGGTTTGTTCCGTGTAGTAGTTGCCCTGGGGTGTGTTTTTTTTTTTTCTTTTTTCTGAATCACTTATGGGCTACCGGAGCTCAGGCTCATGACGGTTTTCAGCAAAATGTCATTCTGAAGTGAGAAGAAAAAATATCCTGTCACCTAGTCCCAATCGTGTCTTTTTCCAAACCTGCCGGTGGCTGGCAAAAGCAGACAATTTCAAGAAAAGCAGTTAACAATTTTTTTTTTTTCGGTTAAGCATCGGGGTAACCCGACAAGTCTTGAATGCACAGAGAAAGTTACGGTGCTCAAGAAACCAGACGTCTTTAGGCAACTAGACATTCATGAATATGCAACATACCAGATGGATGAGCGTGAGGACAGGCTCACCAATCTTGTTCATGTTCTGAATAAATGTTCATTTTCTGAACTGTTTGTGGTATTAAGATTGACCGGATTGGATCAGTTGCGCTTTTTTGGAATGCCTTTTTTGGTGGAGTACTTGAGGCGGGCCAGACACACCTCTGCTCTACAGTATTGCGCTAAATTAAAACATACGGTAACCACAGAAATAGTTAAATGTCCATCCTGATTTCATGCTTTAATTCACCATCTATCTCCTTGTCATGGGTGTGCCTTGGCCAACAAAGAACAGTACAAAAGCTATGCATGTTTAGACACAAAAAAGATGGACACGACTGGAGGAAACTGGAGTACCCGGAGAAAACCCACGCACGAACTTGCCCAATTGAAATGAATGGAAATATCATCCCAGCCGCCCAATGCACCAACATTTTCTTTTTATTATTCGTCTTTTTTTTTTGAAGAGGATAAAGAATCTATGCCCTAGAGTATTGCTGAATTGTCTATCCGCATCTGCTGCTGTACTGTTCCTGTTGCTTAATGGGTGAAAGCAAGCACAATGCTTCAGTTTTCATACACAAACTCGGTTTTAGTCAGACTTTGGAAGGAAAGAACTTTAGGACGCATTTAGTGCGAAAAAAAAAGGTTCTGACAGTAAAACTGGTTGGAAAAAAAAAAAAAAAAAAAAAAAAAAAGGAGCAGCCAGCCTTGTCACGTCCAACAAAACTGTTCCGGAGGTAAAATATGGTCAGGAAGTGACTTATCTTGTTATTCTGGATTGGATGGCAGCGATGTTACAAAATGGTTTATTGAGCCCAAACGATGACGCAATCAGGCAGCAGAGTGGATGCTCTGGAGTGTATTGAGGACTATGGCTGATGAAAGCTAGAGGATGCAACTTGCATGTTTAACCAGCGTCAATAAAAAAACAACACCTTTTTCTTTTTTTTTTTCAGTTTCCAGCTACAGACCGACATCCATATCCTCACCTCATGAGTGTGGAACTGCTCCTTGACCTCCTCCACATTGTTTGAGATGGGGGGCTGGGACTGGAGTCCGTCTTCAGCCGAGAGCAGCCAGGTCAGAACCTTGACAATTTTTTTTTTTTTCGGTTAAGCATCGGGGTGACCCGACAAGTCTTGAATGCACAGAGAAAGTTGCGGTGCTCAAGAAACCAGACGTCTTTAGGCAACTAAACATTCATGAATATGCAACGTACCAGATGGATGAGTGTGAGGACAGGCTCACGAATCTTGTTCATGTTCTGAATAACTGTTCATTCTCTGAACTGTTTGTGGAATTAAGATTGACCTGATTGGATCAGGTGCGCTTTTTTTGGAACACCTTTTTTGGTGGAATACTTGAGGCGGGCCAGACACACCTCTGCTCTACAGTATTGCGCTAAATTAAAACATACGGTAACCACAGAAATAGTTAAATGTCCATCCTGATTTCATGCTTTAATTCACCATCTATCTCCTTGTCATGGGTGTGCCTTGGCCAACAAAGAACAGT